GTTTTAATAGATTAGAAAACTAAATATATTGGGTCTGTTAGTAAATATGTCCCATTTCCACATTTAAAATTGTCTTATGAGAAAGTACGTATTTCTAAAAACTTATAAATTGGTGTTAATCTACAGAATGTTGGTTCATGTTTACTAAGGATTAAAATTCTAATATATGGTAACTAAAAATTAGAAGAAAATTAAGTTTTTCTAAAAATTAAACATTGATATAAAAATATGCTGATGTTATCCTTTGTGTTCAAATCAAGTTTGATCCCTTGTGTTCAAATGGTAGAGTTTTTGAAGCATTTATTTCCTTTTATTGGTACATAATAATTATACATAACAGTGGAATTTGTTGTGATCTACTCTTTTTTTGTAGTTGTAGATGGACAGAATGCCTTTATTTGTTTATTTTTATGTGGTGCTGAGGATCGAACCCAGTGCCTCACATGTGCTAGGTGAGTGCTCTGCCACTGAGCTACAATAATCATCAATAATCAGTCTGTGATCTGCTCTTAATAGAAAATTGTAAGAGGTGTTTCTTTATCTTTTAGGTATATGGACTAAAAACAAAGATTCTAAAATTTCTTGTTCTTTGTGCTTTTGAAATCTTTTGTCATCCTGGGTTTATTTCATAATAATTCTATTTAATTATTTTAAACATTTTACTATGTTTGAAAAAATTCCCAAAATCAAATTATAAAATTAATCTTTTTGACCTAAAACTAACTTTGGGATTTTCAGAGGGGCCCTGGAAGTCCAAATAAAAATGATATTTAGCATTCTTTGAGTTATATTGTATAATGTTATTAATGTATGTTTATAATGATATCTTTGTTTTATCATTGGATAGATGCCTTCCCTTGTCACAAGGCCACAACCATGACAGCCAGTAAAATACCATTAGAAAAGATTTTCCCTTTGTAGTGTACCCTATGAACTTCATAGTAACAGAGGATCTCATTTTACTGGACAAGTAGTTTAGTCTGTTTGCAAACTTGACCTATATTCCAACGTTTCCATTGTTCATATCATCCTCAATCCCCAGGATTAGTGGAATGCACTAATGAAATTGTAAAACTCAAGTGGCTAAACTAATGAAAACACTTAGCTTGCTCTGGCCTAAGGCGCTGCCCCTGGTGTTACTTAATCTTAGACCTACTCCTTCAGGTAAAAACTAGCTGTTACCTTTTAAAATCATCACTGGCACTAGGGAGAGAAGGAACCTACCTCAACATCAAAAAGGCTATACATAAGAAACCCAAAGCCAACCTCATAGTAAATGGGGAAAAAAATGAAAGTATTTCCACTCAAATCTGGGGACAAGACAAGGATGTCCACTCTCACCACTCCTATTTCATATAGGGTTAGAAATTCTAGCCAGAGCAATTATGCAAGAGAAGGAAATAAATAGGATAAAAATAGGAAAGGCAGCCTGGTGGTTGTGCATGCCTGTAATCCCAGTGAACCAGGAGTTGGAGGCGGGAGGATTGTAGGTCAAATTCCAGCCTCAGCAAAAAGTGAGGCACTAAGCAACTCAGTGAAACCCTGTCTCTAAATAAAATACAAAATAGGGCTGGGGATGTAGCTCAGTGGTTGAGTGCCCCTGAGTTCAATTCCTGGTACCTCCTGTCCCCCCAAAATAGGAAAGGCAGAAGTCAAATTATTACTTTTTGCAGATGATATGATCCTATACCTAGAAGATCCAAAAGATTCCACCCAAAGGCTCCTAAAGCTAATAAACAAATATGGCAAAGTAGAAGGTTACAAAATCAACATGCCAAAATCAATACCTTTCCTATATACCAACAACGAATCTGCTGAGAAAGAAATGATTAAAACAATTCCATTCACAATAGCCTCAAAAGCATACTTAGAAATAAATCTAACCAAAGAAGTGAAAGACCTCTACAATGAAAAATATAGAACATCGAAGAAAGAAATGAGGAAGACCTCAGAAGATGGAAGGACCTCCCATGTTCACAGATAAGCAGAATTAATATTATTTAAATGTCCATAATAGCAAAAGCAATATACAGATTCAATGCAATCTCCATCAAAATATCAATGGCATTCTTCACAGGACTAGAAAAAACATTCCTAAAATTCATTTGGAAGAATAAAAGACCCAGAATAGCCAAAGCAATTTGAAGCCAAAAGAGCATTGCTGGAGGCATCACAATACCTAATATCAAATTATACTACAGAGCTTTAGAAACAAAAACTGCATGGTACTGGCATAAAAACAGACACCTAGACCAATGGTACAGAATAGAAGACAGAGAGACAAATCCATACAGATACAGTCATGTGATCCTTGACAAAGGTGTCAGAAATATACATTGGAGAAAAGATAATCTTTTAAATAAATGTTGTTTGGAAAACTGGCTATCCATATGTAGAAGAGTGAAACTAGATCCTTATTCTCTCACCCTGTAAAAAATCAACTCAAAATGGATCAAAGACGTTGAAATTAGACTAGCCACTATGCAACTCCTAGAGTCAACATTCAAGCTTTTAGGCACAAGCAATGACTTTCTCAGTAGGACCCCTAAAACTCAGTAAATAATGCCAAAAGTTAATAAATGGGACAGCATCAAATTAAAAAGCTTCTGCACAGCAAAGGAAACAATGAGGAATATGAAGAGAGAACCTACAGAATGGGAGAAAATCTTTGCTAGCTACTGTTCTGACAAAGGATTAATATCTAGAATATAGAAGAGCTCAAAAAACTGTACACCACAAAACCAAATATCCTAATTAATAAATGGGCAAATGAACTAAACAGACACTTCTCAAAAGAAGAAATACAAATGGTCAACAAATACAGGGAAAAATGTTCAACATCATTAGCAATTAGGAACATGCAAATCAAAACTACACCTAGATTTCATCTCATGCCAGTCAGAATGACAGTTATCAAGAACACAAATAATAATAAATGTTCAAGAGCATGTAGAGAAAAAGGAACATGTTTACACTGTTGGTGCAATTATAAATTATTACAACCACTATGGAAATTAATATGGAGACTCCTCAAAAAACTAGGCATGGAACCACCACACTGCCCAGCTGTACCACTTTTCAGTATTTATCCTGAAGAATTAAAGGCAGTTTACTACAGTGATACATGCATACCTATGTTTATAGCAGCACAATTCATAATAGCCTAACTATGGAACGAGACTAGGTGTCTATCAGTGGATGAATGGACAAAGAAAAAGGCATACACACACACACACACACACACACACACACACACACACATAATGGAGTTTTATAGAGCCTTAAAGAAAAATAAAATTATGGCATTTGCAAGAAAATGGATAGAACTAGAGACTATAATGTTAAGCAAAATAAGTCAAACTCACAAGGTTAAGAGTCATATGTTTTCTCTCATATTTGGAAGCTAGAGAAGAAAAAGGAAAAGAATGGTGGGGGTGGGTCACCTGACTAAGGGAGATCAGTAGAGGAAAGGGACCAAGGGGTGAGAGGAGAGCAGGAGGGAGAAATGTTAGAAAGTGATGTTGGTTAAATTTTATTGTTATATTGTGTATATGTACAAATATGCAACAACAAATCCCATCAATATGTACAATTATAATACACGAAAAATGATGAAAAAACATAAAATCATCACTGGCTGATCTTTTGTAAATGTGAAAGGTACAGATCCACTGCTTCCTAATGAAGCCAATAATGGGAGAGATAAAGTGATGGAAGAAGATCTTTATAGACAACAAGCTGGCAGTTGTAAGATGGGAACTCTAATCCTTAAAAAAAGGCATTTTTCTTAGGGGTTGTGGGCACAAAGCATTTATAGGGATTTGGGGGGTATAATTTTAGTATTAGGTTGTTGAGGCCCTGGGATAATCATAAATTTTATAGTGATCTACTTTTTTATGCACACGCTGGTGTTATTTGAAGATCACCAAATGTCCTGGGTTCTGTAACTCCAAAGATAAGTTACTGATTAGAAAATTTCTTTTGTCAGGAATAGTGAATCTTTCAGTTAATCATTTAAGACACAGAACAGGGGAGGAGAGCAAAAAGTAAATTTTTGCAAGAGAACAGTTTTAACTCACCAGGTGGCATCACAATCAGAGGTGTATCTATAGCAAAGCTACTGGGAGACCAACCATATATTGCAAAGCAGTGTCAAATTAGTGATTTTAAAAGTCAAAAGCAAATGAAACTAGAGAGTTTATTTAGTTTTTTCATTGATTACACTATGAGATAAGCTGGAGAACTATATAAACCTCCTATGATTGAAGAAACTCTATTTATAATAAAAAAATTACAAAAGTCCTTAAAATAAATCCACAGGTCATAGAGCAAACTTTTTAGTGTCTGCTCCTTGGGAAAGAAAAAAAAACCCAACAATTATACAATCTTCAACCTGGCAATTATACGTATTGGAAATGCCATTTTTATAAAAGCCCCTTCCAATATCATTGGAAAGGACCATATCAGGTGTTGTTGTTGTTGTTGTTATTATTATTATTATTATTATTATTATTATTATTATTATTATTATTGTTATTTTGAGGTACCAGGGATTGGTCTCAGGGGCATTTGACCATGGAACTACATCCCTAGCCCTAATTTGTATTTTATTTAGAGACAGGGTCTCACTGAGTTGCTTAGTGCCTCACTGTTGCTGAGGCTGGCTTTGAACTTGTGATCCTCCTTCCTCAGCCTCCTGAGCCACTGGGATCACAGGCATGCCCCACTGCCCAGCCTATATCAGAATATTGTGTCCCTGTGCCTGGTAAATTATCAAATATCACCTACTTACTCAATTCTATGAAGAAATAAACTAATACCTTAAGTGATCTTACACCTAGTTTAGGAGACAAATTAAAAAGTTCGTGTGATGCAAAAATTAGCTATGCTACTATATGCCAATAGTGGTTTATCTGAAATAGAAATAAAGAAAGCAGTAACATTCACAATAATTACAAAAATAGCTAGAAATAAATTTATTAAAAGAGGTGAAGGAGGCTGGGGATGTAGCTCAGTTGGTAGATAGAGTGCTTGCCTTGCATGCACAAGGCCCTGGGTTCAATCCCCAGCACCACCAAAAAAAAGGAGAAGGAGAAGGAGAAGAATAAGAAAGAAGAAAGAAGAAAGAAGAAGAAGTGAAAGAACCCTACAAGGAAATGTATTGGTGAAAGAATTTAAAGAGGAAAGGGCACAAAAATAGCAGGAAGACATCTCATGTTCATTGATTGGAAGAATCAATATTGTTAAAATGTATATACTACCCATTGTGATCTACAGATTCAGTGCAATCCCTATCAAAACACCAGTTTTTCCTGAACTAGAACAGTCCTAGGATTTATATGGAAAACTAATTTATAAAATATCACATTGTATTCCATTAATATGTATAGTCTTTGTTCTTTTATATATCAGTTAAAATTTTAAAAAATATGGAGACAAAATCATTGGTTTAGATCAGGCTTTAGCTGGTTAAAATCCTTAGTAATGATGCTATTATCGTGACTTGCTATTCTTTGTGTGTGTGTCTAGGGGTATTGGGGTTTGAACTCAGGGGCACTTAACCATTGAGCTACATCCTCAGCCGTTCTTATTTATTTTTAAATTTTGAGACAGTGTCTCAGTAAGTTGCCTAGGCTGATCTTCAATTTTCAGCCTCCTAAGGCACAGAAATTATAGTTATGCCCCACCATACCTGGCTCTTGCTATTATTTTTATTATTTATATTTTTGTGGTACTGGTGATTGAACCCACTGCCTCACTCATGTTAGGGAAGTGCTTTACCACTGAGCTACATTGCCCTCGCTATTGCTAGTATTTTCTGTAATATCTTGTCATGTTGTGTCACTATTTTTTAAAACATTTCTCCTACCAAAATAATGGTTGTATAGTGCCTGGAGGAAACAATTAACCCTTACTGGGAACATACTGTTGAAAAATATTAAGATATTGACTAAGCCCTGCTTCCTAACCATTTTCTTGTTTCTCAAATATGGCCTTAATCTCTCTATATACAGTCATCTCTTTTCCTCTTCCATGTGACCTGACTTTCTGGGAATGAACCTTCCCAGGTCTGAAGGAACAAGATCTAATAAAAATCAACACACAAACCAAAGATTTATCATCAGTGCTTCCTGTTAAAGAAATCATGATCAAAACACAGGAAATATGAAAATACAAAGAAAATTTTAGTGAAAGCAACATTGAAAGTATTTCTCAAAATGGAGGCAGGAGGCCATTATGAAAGCTGTACTAGCAGCTTCCTGGAATGTGAATTGTAGTTACCCACACACTTTGACCACAGACATCTGGAATGGTCTAAATGATTGGAAAATTAAATTGTACCCAGAGGCTCAAAGTATATATCAAGAGATTATTGGATATTTCTATTCTGTTTATACATTCTTTTTTTTTTAATCTCCTATTGGTCACATAACTCATGTTCCTGTTCTTATTCCAAATATAAGCTTCACTTTTCCTTCATTCCTTGGAACACTGATTCAGAAATATCTGAAATCATGTCTCCTGAATTGCAGTTTATAAGATCCCAAATAATGTACTTTTACTTAAAAATCTAGAGATAATTTATTTTACATTCATGTATTATTACAGCATAACATAGAGAAATCAAAAGAATGTCTCGCTGGCAATGTTCCTATGATAACATCAAGTGAGAGAGTATTTCCTTTTTCATCACATATTTTAGTAATTTAAATTTTCTTTCTCTTTTTCTTCTTTAGCATAGTTAAGAGTTTATCAATTTTATTTATTTTTTTCAAAGAACTTTTCATTTTATCTTTTTTTAATTGTTTCTTTTCTTTCGATTTCATTAATTTCAGCTCTGATTTTAATTATTTCCTGTCTTTTACTGCTTTTGGTGTTGGTTTGTTCTTCTTTTTCTAGGGCTTTCAGATATAATGTTAGGTCATTCATTTGTTGACTTTTATTATTTTAATGAATGAGTTCAATGCAATAAACTTTCCTCTTAGACTGCCTTCATAGTGTCCCAGAGATTTTTTTTTTACATGGACACAATACATTTATTTGGTTTATTTATTTTTATGTGGTGCTGAGGATTGAACCCAGTGCCTTACATGTGTGAGGCAAGAGCTCTGCCACTGAGCCACAACCCTGGCCCAGAGATTTTGATATATTGTATCAGTGCTCTCATTTACCTCTAAGTATGTTTTTAATTTCCTCCCTGATTTCTTCTGCTATCTATTCGCCATTCAATAGCATGTTATTTAGTCTCCAGGTGTTGGAGTATCTTCTATTTTTTATTTTGTCATTGATTTCTTGTTTCACTCCATTATGTTCTGATAGGATGCATAGGATGCAGAGTAGTGTTTCTGGTGGTTTTTTTTTTTTTTTTGCTAAGAGTTGCTTTGTGGCATAACATATGGTCTATTTTAGAGAAGGATCTATGTGCTGCTGAGAAGAAAGTATATTCGCTTATTGATAAATGAAATATTCTATATATGTCTGTTAAGTCTAAATTATTGATTGTATTATTGAATTCTATAGTTTCTTTGTTTAGTTTTTGTTTGGAAGATCCATCCCGTGGTGAGAGAGGTGAGTTAAAGTCACTCAGTATTATTGTGTTGTGATCTGTTTGGTTCTTGAGTTTGAGAAGGGTTTGTTTGATGTACGTAGAGGCTCCATTGTTTGGGGCATAGATATTTACTACTGTTATGTCTTGTTGATGCACGATTCCTTTAATCAATATAAAATGTTCTTCTTTATCCATTCTGACTAACTTTGGCTTGAATTCCACTTTATCTGATATAGTCCATGTGAGTGGTATATTTTTTCCCAATCTTTCACCTTCAGTCTGTGGATGTCTTTTCCTAAGAAATGAGTCTCTCCAAGACAGCATATTGTTGTATTGTTGGGTCTTTTTTTAAAAATCCAATCTGCCAGTCTATATCTTTTGATTGATGCATTTAAGCCATTAACATTCACCATTATTATTGAGATTTGATTTCTATTCCCGGTTATTTTGGTTTATTTTTGGTTTTTAACTTAGTTTCTCCTTTGGTTGACTTTTCCTTTAGTGTTGTTCCTCCCTTTGCTGGTTTTCATTGCTTTTTTTTCTTTCATTTCTTCCTCATGGAATATTTTGCTGAGAATGTTCTGTAGTGCAGGCTTTTTAGTTGTGAATATTTTAAAATTTTGTTTATCATAGAAGGTTTTTATTTTCACCTTCAAATCTGAAGCTCGGTTTTTCTGGATACAAAATTCTTGGTTGGCATCCATTTTCTTTCAGAGCTTAATATAAATTATTCCAGAACCTCCTGGCATGAGGGTTAGTGTTGAGAAATCAGCTGAGATTCAAATTGGTTCCCCCCTATATGTAATTTGATTTTTTTTCTCTCTTTAAAATTTTGTTTTTAAAGAGACTGATTTTTTTTAGTCTTTAAAATTCTATCCTTATTCTGTATGTTAGCCATTCTCATTATAATGTGTCATGGTGTGGGTCTGCTGTAATTTTATACATTTTGGGTCCTATAAGCCTCTTATATTTGATTTTCCATTTTATTCTTTAGATTTGGGAAAGTTCTGATATTATATTATTGAAAAGATTGTGCATTCCTTTGGTTTGTATCTGCATGCCTTTGTCTATTCTGATAATTCTTAAATTTGGTCCTTTCATGTTATCCCATAGTTCTTGGAAGTTCTGTTCATGGTTTCTTACCATCTTTTCTGTACGATTGACTTTATTTTCAAGAGTATATATTTTGTCTTTATGGCCTGAGGTTGTATGTTCCAAGTGGTCTAGTCTGTTAGTGATACTTTCCATTGAATTTTTAATTTGGTTTATTGTTTCCTTCATTTTGAGGATTTCTACTTGATTCCTTTTTATAATCTCTGCCTCTTAATTGAAGTGATCTTTCACTTCCTGTATTTTCTCTCTGATACCATCCTTTGTTTTGAGGTTCAATCTAACTATGTACCTCTAAACTCCTTCTCAGCATTTCTTCTACTGTGTTGTCTACGGATTCTATCGTTGGAACATCTTGGTTTGTTTGAGGTGCTTTGTTCCCTTGTTTTCTCATGTTGTTTGTGTGTCATCCCATCTAGTGGTATGGATCTGAGGCAGTACAATTTCTACCCTGTAGTCTTATAGTGTCCGTTTAGGCTTCTAGTACCTCACCTTTAAGTGGGAGAACAATATTAACAGCACCCACTGCAAATGTTATACGGCTTAAACCAAATAGCTCCTATTAAGGTGTCTAGTTTTGTTTCAATAAACAGAAATGATTCATTCAATTATTGTCTACAATATAAACAGTAAGTTTCCAAAAAGGATTTAGCATTTCAAATGATGGACAAAGAGGGAACAGAGGTAGTGTAGATTGTGATGTTTATGAGGGAGAAGGAGAGAAGATAGAGGTAAAAAATTATAGTAAGAGTGAAGGAGGAATTAATAGAGGTTGGCTGTTAGCATGAGATGAGTGAGAAAGAGAATCCAGGGAGACAGATAAGTGAGAGAAAAAATATATACAGATTTTTTTAAAAGTAAAAATATAAGAATACACAACAAAACTGTAATATACTATTCAGACATTCCATTCCTCAATAAATTGATGCATGAAAAATATTTGGATTCAAAGATGGTAGATACATGAGAGAGAGGGCAAAAAAAGGAAGGTCTCAATGGAAAATTGAGCAACTGTTTCCATTGGCTTTCAAAATTTTTTCTCAGCTTCCCTTCTCTGCTGATATGTGGGTTGTCTGAAGTCTGATGGTAGCTCCAGTCCAGTGGATGCCAGACTGGTTGGCTGGGTGAGGTGATAGCAAGATGCCCTCCCAACCTCCTCCAGTTTTCCCACCCATTATAGTCAGCCCCTTCTGTCCTGCACACTTCAGGATTCACTGAGCTGGAGAGAGACATTTTTCTCTCCAGTTTCTCCAACCTGTACTCACCCAGGGGGAAATACCCCCATTCTCGGGCTTTCCACAGGCCTGCCAGGCCCAGACTGGCCCACACATATCCAGCTGCAATCTGACAAATCTGGGTTCCAGATTCCCCAGGCTCTGCCTTGCTGAAGTCCCAAGATCTAAATGCCCTTTCAACTT